CAATTTATATTCCACATTCAGTAATTTGAAGGCTTCTATATGTGAGCGATTCAATCGAACATTGAAGAGTAAAATGTGGTTTCAGTTCAGTTTACGTGGAAATTACAAGTGGATTGATATGTTGCCGGAACTCGTACGGGAATATCCATATTAATAATATCCGTGAGCGTTACCGAGCTCCTTTGTGTCATTTCCATGCTGCAATTCTTCTCCCATGCCTATGTATCATATGTATAGTATACTCATTCGAAAGCTTATTGAATAATCTTCAAAATGACGCTAGACTCATCCATTTTTATCAATTTTTCACTGACTTATGAGACTTTTAGGCAAAAGTTGAATTATTACGTTTTACTTAAAAATCTAATTTCGATGGGATTTTTCGATATTTCTAGGTGCCCTGGGTTAGGACTTCTATACACTATCTTAAAGATAATTTAATATTCTTCAAAATACTGCATGAGAAATTTGATTTCATTGGATTTTCATGGAGTTATACTGATTTGTTTCTGTTTTTTCCGTTATGTCACACTCAAAAAATGACAGTTTTTACTATTTATTGACATGTTAAACTTGACCAATGGGGATCAATCACATGTCAATGTGAAGATCTCATCGAGATCTTCAATTTGCTAGCCTACATTATTCATTCCATCGGCTAGATCGATTGCTATCGGCCATAATGTAGCCATTTAAGCATGTCACGTTTGGAAAATTTCCATGTTTTTCCACTTATGAGGCCAGTTATTCGGTTTTTATTTCCAAATCTCCAAAATTAACTCATGCTCATGTGAAAGTACATTAAATGACCTTGAATTTGACATCTGATGTATTCGATTGTGACCAATTTTTATTACCGTGTAATGGTTTTATCCATTCAATAGAAAACTGAATTTTTATTCAAATATACTATAAACGATTAACGTAATTTGGTCAATTTCTGTTTATATTTGCCGAGGTAACTTAGGCTTAGATAGAAATACTTTAGATATTAACACTTTCAGTAGATAACTTTGAAATTTCTCTGTCGATATTTGTTTGCATGCAATTCGTATCAACCTATGGGGATTTAAATCCCAAAGCTGAATTTTCCACAATTTTATGTAAAAATCTCTGACTCAAACTTGCAGTGACTCTAGAACTCATTCATTTGGGATTCATAGAGGTTGAGATATAATGAGTGAAGTTGTCAATGAAATGAAGTGCCGCTTCTGTTTGAAATTGGTACATAAGAAGATATTTGGGTTAGAAGGAATCGTAATATCGTTGACCACAGATTCCTTCAAATATAATATAGTGAGCGTCATCTCTGATGAAAAAATGAGGAGAGCATTGGAATGAACGTCAATAGTAGTCTGCAATATCTTCACTAGATAACTTGAGAATGTGTAAGTAGACGTTTTCATTTTCAATGTAATTAGATCAAGTTTATTACCACACGGATGAGAAAATAGATTGAAAATGAATAATGAGAATGCCAAGAATATGATTAATTGAGATTGATGATTTATATTCGTAATAATTATAACCCTTAATAAGTGGGCATTCAAATAATCCTAATCGAGGGATTAGAAAAGTGGAAAATAGAGGAGAAAAAATGGAGGGAAATTATAATCTGCGTCAACGACGTTGTCGAGAGAAAAAAAAGACATTAGACGTTGAAAAAGAATTGGAAAGAGTGAATTCGATTGGAGAAAGGACAACAGAAAAGCAGGGACAGCATAATAAACGGAAAAATCAAAGAGAAGAATTATTAACATCTGCAGATGAGAATCAGGAAAAAACTGATGAAGAAATCAGAGTGTCGACGGAAAATGCAGAATCAAGAAAAAAAAGTGCTCTACGCCAACAACGCTGTAGAATGGAGAAGCGCAGATTAGATATGGAAAAAGAGGAATCACAACGAGACAAGAACCGTGAACGACAGCGACAATGTCGAGCACGTAAACGTGATGAAGCTATTCGTGTACAGGTCGCTGAAACAAATCGAAATGTCTACAATGCGATAAAGCAGAAGAGATATCGGACGACGAAGAAAGAAAAAGGCAAATCAAATTGTAGAATTCAAAAAGTTTATCGAATGAAAAAAAAGTACTGCTTCAACGAAACAAGTGTAAGGTTTAACGATCAAGTGAGGGAAAATTATCTTGGGGCTATGGATGTATTATGTAAGCATTGTGGGGCTAAACATTTTGCAGGTGAACGCGTATCAACCAAGGAAAAAGATTCATTCAATGATTGCTGTAGCCACGGTTCTGTTATTGCGACATCTTTCGAAAGTTATCCTGTGGAGATGCGTGAACTATTTTATTCTGAAAATGCAAATTCAAATAATTTTTTTAAAAATATTCGAAGTTATAATAATGCTTTTTCGTTCGCCTCATTCAATGCAAATTTGGTTAATTTTCAAGGGAGGAGGCCAGGACCATATTGTTTCATGGTACAAGGACAAATTTACTATCAAATGAATACCGCACTGTACCCGGAAAGAGATGATGGAATACCTAGATATGGGCAACTATTTATGCTCGATGCTGATATGGCTAATGATTTTCGAATGACTGATATGAAGAGCTTCGATATTTCAATATTACATGTACTTGACAGTGTCTTGCGTAGAGAAAATCACTTCGTCAATGCTTATTATATGATGAGAGAAGTGATAGAAATGGAAGAAAAAAACTGTGAGGAATCTGGGACGGAAATGCCTGAAATTAAAATGGTTTTCAATAGCAGAAAGAAAGGTATGGATAAACATAGATATAATCCACAAAGAACGAATGAAGTAGCTGCAGTATTTACGACTACTGCAGATGGCGAAATTCCAGAATCATACGTAACTATTGTCAATAGAACAGATAAAAAACTTAAATTCGTCAGTACTTTGGATCCAAGTATTGAACCATGGATTTATCCGTTGTTCTATCCTCTTGGTTTAGGCGGCTATGATGTTGAAGATACACGTTACAATTGTGATAGACGAATCTCGCGATCTGCGTATGTGAAAGACCTTATTGCTGTTAGAAATGGGTTCAATCCAATCTTACATGGTAGGAAGCTCTTTCAGCAATGGATAGTGGATAATTATGTTAAAGTGGAGAGGGATCGTACGAATTTCATCAGATTTAATCAAAAAAAGTTAAGATGTGAGACATACCAGGGTCTCGTCGATTATTTAGAGAGAAGGGGAGAAGAAAATGACATGAGAGTCGGAAAAATTGTTATATTACCGTCAACATTCATTGGTTCACCTCGGAATATGGCGCAAAATTATCAGGATGCCATGGCAATTGTGAGAAAATATGGTAAACCCGACCTCTTTATCACTATGACGTGCAACCCTAGATGGCGTGAAATTGAAGAAAATCTTGGCTCGGGAGAACAACCAAGCGACAGACCCGATATAGCTGCGCGAATATTTGATCTTAAAAAAAACTATTTATTAGATCTAATCTTAATTAATGAAATATTCGGACGCGTTCTAGCTTGGGTTTATGTCATTGAATTTCAAAAGCGGGGACTACCACATGTTCACATGTTAGTCACCCTAAGCAGGAATTGCAGATTGACTAGCCCAAATATTGTAGATAAATTTATTTCTGCTGAAATTCCAGATAGAGATGAACAACCAGCATTGTATAATATAGTAATGAAAAATATGATTCACGGTCCTTGTGGAGATTGGTGTTTAGTGGATAATAAATGTTCGAAACATTTCCCAAAAGCATTTCAAGAAGAAACAAGCTTGGATGGCGATGGCTATCCATGCTACCGAAGAAGAGACACAGATGAGTATCACGAAAAACAAAATGGGTATGTCGTGGACAATAGATATGTTGTACCTTATTGCCCGGAGATCTTATTGCAACTCAATTGTCATTGTAACGTAGAGGTGGTGTCGCATATTCGAGCGGTCAAATATTTTTTCAAGTACATACATAAGTCACATGACGCAGCAGATGTTATAATAGAAGAAATTTCGAGTACGAATAGAACATTTGAACATGATGAGATCAAGCAGCATATTGACAGTCGTTATGTGGGTCCTGTAGAAGCGGCCTGGCGTCTTTTACATAAAAAATTACATGATAAGAGTCATGCGATCATCCGTTTACCGATACATCTCCCCAACCAACAAAGTATTACAATTAATCCTGGAGGAGAAGAATGTGATTTAGCAGGTGCCTTAGAACAACAAAATATGTTGTTGGATTATTTCGCATTGAATATTAGAGACGCTAATGCCAGAAAATATCTGTACATAGACATTCCTGAACACTATACATTTGATAAGAAAAAAGCTAATAACCGAATCATTGGCTGGAAACCGAGGAAAGCAAGTTTTAAAACCATTGGAAGAATGTATTCCATCAATCCATCTCAGGTAGAGTTATTTCATCTTCGACTTCTATTATGTAATGTCAAAGGAGCTATGAGTTTCAATGATTTGAGGAGTGTTGATGGAAGATTATTAGCAACTTTCACTGAAGCATGTGTTGCACGAGGATTGATACAAGATGATCATGAATGGACAAGAGCAATGGAAGAAGGAGAGGTGTGGATGATGCCTCAAGCGTTGAGACAACTATTTGCTTGTATTCTACTCCATTGTCAGCCATTGTATCCTGACAAATTATGGGACGAATTTAAAATTCCTATGTCAGAGGATTTTATGAGGAAAATGACCCCTGCTGTTGCCGAAAATCGTGCTTTGTGGGAAATTGCCAGAATATTGCAGGGGGAAGATAAGAATCTATCCGATTACAATAACATGCCAGAGCCATTGGATATAACTGAACAAGAAGTAGAAATTGACTTTGAAAAAATTCTAGCGAGAGGAAATGAACAGTACGAACAATTGAACGAAGAACAGAAAAATATCATTGACGAAATCATAAGCAATATTAGATCTGCAGGGGAAGAAGAACGTTCCACCTGTTTTTATATCAATGGACCCGGAGGATCAGGAAAAACTTTCATCTATGATACACTATGGCATTTGATGATTGGTGAAGGGAAGAAAGTAAAGACAATGGCATTTACAGGAATAGCAGCCACATTATTACCAGAAGGGAAAACTGTTCATAAAACTTTCGGATTGCCAGTACCACTTTATCAAGATTCAACTTCAAGCATCAAAATAAACTCGAAAAAAGCTAAAGAATTAGGAGAAACAGATGTCTTTATATGGGATGAAGCGCCTATGTCTCCGAAATATTGTTTGGATGTCATTGATAGATTATTGAAAGATATAATGGATAATGACATCGCATTTGGAGGAAAACTGATCGTTATGGGCGGTGATTTCCGTCAACTCCTTCCAGTACTTGAAGGAGGGACACGCAGTGAAACAGTCAGTCTGTCAATAAAATATAGTCCGTTATGGAGGTTCTTCAGAACGTTCACATTGCATGAAAATATGAGAGCTTTCGCCACGGAGAGAAAATTCTCAAATTATCTCATTGCATTGGGAAATGGAGAACTGAATGATGAAAGGGATCGAATAGACCTACCGGATGAATGCATAGCGGATAGAGACAGAGATATCGTTCTCGAGATGTATGAAGAACTGATAAGTCAGAAAAAATATAAATCGGCTTCCAAAGTTGCAATTCTCTCAGCAAGGAATGACGATGTCGATGAAATAAATCAACGAGTGATTGATCTATTAGATATCGAGACCGAGAGAATATATACAAGCGTTGATAGCACAGAAAACTGCAATGATGGTAATCAAGAAGTAAATGAATGTCTTTTACCTGAATATTTGAATACTCTGAAGACCAAATCATTACCACGTCATGAGTTACGGTTGAGAAAATTTAGTATAATAATGCTCATCAGAAATTTGAATATTCAACAAGGACTTTGTAATGGAACGCGATTATTGGTTTTAGAGATGAAAAATAATGTGTTAAAATGCGAAATTTTGACGGGGGATAAAAAGAATGAAATAGTATTCATTCATAGAATTACTTTCATATGTGAAAATGAATATCCCTTTGCATTTACTCGTCGACAATTTCCAGTCAAATTAGCTTTTGCTATGACAATTAACAAATCTCAAGGTCAAACATTCGATTGTATTGCCATCGATTTGAGAAAGCCTGTTTTCACGCATGGACAACTATATGTAGCTGTGTCGAGAGTACGATCATGGGATACGCTGAAGATTTATTTGAACGAGCACGTAGAAGATTCAATTGTTAACAATCCAGTGTTCAAAGAGTTATTTGAGGAATAATGGTCGATAAAAGATGGAATGAAACTCTGTAATAATTAATTGGAAATAATAGAGCATAGATAAGTGAGATAATACATGTAAAAAAATATTCTTCTCTTCTTATCGTCTCACATTTGTTTTGTTTTCGTTTTACATTTATGAATTTGAAAAGGAGTAGGGATGGAATTTTACTACTTTCCTCTAGCTCTCCCTTCTGTTTGAATTTTCAATAATTTTTTTGTGTAGTGAGCTTCCGGATTGATCTACATCAATCATTTTATACAGTATTAAGCGTTCGTCTATCTACTCAAAATTCGACGTCCATATCCATACATATCCATGCATGGTTGTAAAAATTTGTATTTTCTTTTTTTAGATGATTCTCAATCGTTTTCAGGCAAAATCAGAGAAATTTGCAAGTAATTATTGAAATCGGAAAATTTCGATTGCAAAATTTTAGGAGAAATTCAAATGATATTGAATGTTACCTATAGAATATCTACTAGAGTTTTCAGCACAAAAAACCAACAAAATTTTTCAGTAGAACTCCCATAGAAATTCTATTAAAATTCTATCGAATTTCCATAGAATTCTAGCGAATTAACTGAAGAATTCTATTGGATTTTGTAATACATAGCATTTATTTGAACGAAACAAAAAATAATGGGGTTGACTGAAAGGGAAAAAAAAGAAAGCAGATATTGTGTGACAGGCGTGAGCACTGAGAGGTGGAAGAAATGGAAGAAGAAATTATTCATCGTGCACAATTAGTGGATACAGATCATCACTTTGAGGAGGAAATCTGGTTTTGGAGGCGTTTACCCAATGGCAATAATCGGTTGGTTTGTGAAAGAAGAATTATTGATAGAGAGAGACCAATGAGCGCGCTTACCCCACCAACTCCACCAATATCAAGCGAGCAAAATGCACCAGACGATGTAGCAAACGCTCCACACGAGAATCAGGAGAGAACGAAGAGAATATGTCGGTAAATGACTGGACAAATTTAACCATAACATTAAAAAATATCCAAAAAATAACGCTCGCTGTTGCGTGTTTAAAAAAAAATTCTCAAAATTCAACGAAAGACCGTGACCAAATTTCGCCGACTAGAAAATTTCCCTGATTAGTCCCCCAAACGCGCAAAGAAACTTGGCCACCGGGAAAATCTGCAAAATACTAATTTTGTCCATAATTTTTTTTTTCAATTTGTCGAAGAATCAAATATCAAAGATTCAACAAATAACTTTGTCCAAATTTGGCTGGCGGGAAAATATTCCCAATTAGTCTCCTAACCACTCGAAAAAGATTAGCCTCCAGGAAAATTCGCATAATATTGATTTTCTTTAACATTGAATGTACGACCATTGCTATTTCCCATCACAGTTCACTAGGAAATTGAAAATTCGGATTACTGATTGCAAAATTTTTTGATTTTTAGAAAAAAGGGGAAACGAAGGATACGTCGACGAAGGTCGAAGAGAATAATAATAAAAACTAACTATTATTAATGAGAGTCAATAAGAATGAAGAGTGAACAGGACAGAATTTGGAGGGCAGAAGAGGAAAAATTTCGAAAGAAAAAGAATGTTGAGAGGAAATGACAACGAATAAATTTATAGTTTAAAAGTCTTTCAAAAGTAGTAAAAAATTCACTTACATGATTCAAGTGATTAATTAAATGAAAAAAAAAAACAGACTGAGAAAAGTAATCATGAGATTTCCACGGAAGTTGATTATCCAAAATTTTCTTTTTTTTTTAAGGATTAGTTGAGTTTTTCCCTGCACATGAGCTACTTTTTTCTTTTTCGCTGAGATGGGAGTGGTGCTGTTGTCTTCGTCTGGGCCCATGGAATCGAAAAATCACTGGTAGTTTGGCCGGACTCATTGAGCTGAAAAAAGTTAACCTGAGGTTTTCGCGAGACCCTACTATCTCAAATTTTTTTTTTTATTTAAATGAATATATTCTGTGTTATTGTCTTTTTCTGGTACCAATCAACCTAAAAATCACTGGTCAGTAGCCCACATTGAGCTGAGAAAAGTTATGATATTTTCGCAAGAGCCCATTATCAAAATTTTTCTTTCTTCTATGAATTCCTCGAGTTGTTCCTGCGGATGAACAACTTTTTTCATTTTCACCGAGATGGGAGTAGTGATATTGTCTTCATCTGATCCCGTGGCAGCCCATGGAATCACTGGTCGGCAGCCCACATTGAGCTGAGAACGTTATGTTGGAGTTTTCGCGAGAGCTTACTATCTCAAAATTTATTTTTTTTTAATGAATTTTTCGGGTTCATTCCGGTGAATGAGCATTTTCATTCGTTTTCGTCGAGTTGGGAGTGGTGCAGTTGTCTTTATCTGGTTCTGGAGAATCTATACATTCCTGATAGATTGACCTATCGGGAAGAGTTTTCATTCAAATCATATAAAATTTCGTTAAATTATTCATGTTTTTGTTGATTGGTTGCTACATTATAAGGCCTTTTTGATTGTCCACAAACCAGTCATGAATTTATGGTGAAAGCTAATTAAATTAATTGATTAATTGATCGATATAGGAGCACGATATAATATTTTTGTGTGAAGAAAAAATATCTATGGAGAGCAAGTGGAATTAAATCAAAGGATCTGAGAGAAACAAAAGAATAAAAAGAAAAAGCGAGATTGAAATGAAAAAGATTGTTCAGATTCTCTGAAATTCAAGAGGAAATATTAATGACATTCACGTTTAGAATATTGTACAGTTAGTGAGTTTTTTTTTATTAAAAATCAATGGTTGAAAATCTACTTTGAACACCTAAAAATTAATAATGATTATAGAATAATAGCATTCCAGATATTGTTTCCAACGAACGGAATTTTTTTCATTATCGGAAAATATTTTCTTGTTTTTTTAATTTTGATTTTCTTATGATTTTTCTTTTCTCCGTAGACACTCCATAATTTTCAGACTTTCCGTGGAGTTTTTTATTACTCCAAACGTGGAGATAAATCCATTGAAAGTGTTAGACAAGTAAATCGATGAGTCCAAGAGCTGCAGCGTATATTTCAATTCTGAAATGAAAAAAAAAGTGGAGGAATGTGATTGGAATAATATAGAATAAAGAAAAAATAGAAAAACATAAAATACTTTTTTTGTGAATTTCTGGAGAAGTGGTAGATTTTTCTTCATCTTCTTGGATGATGACGCAGTAGCATCCCTCTCCTCATTGATAGTCATTAGTGGCTTGCAAAGCAGTAATTCCTTGAGCGATGCAACTTCCGAATCAACCAAAGTTATGCAATCGGGTCCTTGTACGCAGAAAAAGAACGAGTTACCTGAAAATGATTTTGAAAAGGATGAAAGACATGTTATCGATAATTGAATATAAAACAAGAAGCATGCGAAATGCCACAGAATTTTAGCATAATTATTGGAAATATGCTGAAAAATGGGTGGAATTGTCATGAAATTTCATACAAAAAAATATAGAAATTCTATAAAATTCTAATATAAAAATCTTGTACCAGGTTAGCTAGAAAAATCTATTGGATTTCTCCACGTATTGAAGCTTTGCAAAACAGTGAGTTGCTGGATGAAAAAAAAAGTACCTGTTCTGATGATCGATCCCAAGCATTCGATATGTTGTCCTTTGGTGAAAGGACAGACGTAATCAAGGGGGTAATCGGAAATTTTAACATCTAAGAAGTATTTTTCAGATGCCATGGAGCCGTAGCAAGTGTTACCAGTGCTGTCAGTCTGCTTCTGAATGATAGCCCAAGGAGTTTTAACAAAACCTCTGACCACTGGAACAGGAAAAAAAGTTAAATTAGAATTTAGAAAGTGAGATAATTGATTACATATATAATAAAATTTATTCAATAGAATAGATTTATTGTAATAGAATTTATCCAAAAATGAATTTATGACTTCCAAATATTTCAAGAATATTTCAAAGTCTACTCAGTGTCCGATACATGACGTCACGCATGAAAAATTTTAATAGAAAAAATTTCAAAGAATCTATAGGAAATTCAGAGAATTTACAGAAAATATTCAAATACTCGCCAGAAAAACATCGTCAATTGCGGAAAATTCCTTAATTGAGTGAAAATTGACCAAATACTCAAATTTCATGGAAAATTTTGGGACAAAAATAATGTGATTGAAGCAAGTACACATACCGACGATATTCTTGTGGTTTGCAACTTCGACCAAAGACACAATCTCAGGAGGATTGTCGACCTGAGAAGATAGTGGAACTTTGAATTTTCCCAAATCAGTAATGGTGGTGTTGGACTGGATAATCAGCTCATATGGCGTTGTCCCTGAGTTGAATTTATCGTTCACCTGCTTCGGAAAAGCTCCATCAATGTGAATAACCTGTAGAAAATGAAAATGCAGAGGAAATGAGTGACTGATTTATGGCATTAGAAACTCACACATGAAAAGGCATAATGTAAAGAAAAATAGTCATAAAAAAAGGAAAAAGACATGAAAAAAGAAGAACAAAAGTAGGAATTGATTATACTGAATAAAACTCACGTGCTGCACCAACAACTTATCGATGAACTTATCAATAGTTTCTCCCCACATGACACATTGGATCGTTTCACCATCATTATTGTGAACGAAGAAATTACAGACGGTATTGACTGTTCCGTTCTTACATTTGACGGTGTCTGCTCCTTTGACCAAATGAACGATTCCGACAATCTCACTGGGAATATATGAAAGAATGAAATATGGAAATAAAGAAAGAATAATTTATGAAAGAATGAAAGAAGTAAAAACTTGTAACACTTACACCAATTTAGTGGTAAGTGGAGAAATGCTCTGCAGATATTCAGATGAAGTTAACATCTCGTAATCGGAGAAGAGGTTCATGGATTGCGAGGAATCATTTACAATAGGAATATCTGGCGATAAATCGGGAGAAACAAGCGACTCATTAAAGGAGCAGGAAGCCTTCGAATGAGTGGACATGATTGAAATGTCGATTGATGCTTATTTGATCAAATTAAATCAAATTAATTTGAAACACAAAATAAGTTGTCGTTTATGTGGGTAATAAATGACAGATGATGAGAAAAAAAAGAATGTCAACGGAATGAGTTTTTTTTTT